TTGGGTTTTTGACATTCGAATCGTGGGTTATCTGCAATTAGGAAAATAATATTCCGAAAGTCTATTTGAGAAAAGTCAATTGTTTGTAGATAATGTAACTAGATAATGACGAAAAAAAATTAAAATTGCATTATTTTTAAAGTTTTATATCTTCTTAAATTATGGCAGGTAATTGCAAAATATGAAATTCGGATGCAACCGATTGAGTAGCTCAACATAAATCAAAAATAGTTCCATTTCAATTTTTTTATTTCTCCGGAATTATTCAACCAATTGCTTAAAATAGCAGTATAGAGGGAATTTAATTGTTTTAAAAACTGAACTATTAAAGCCATTTTTTTTCAAACTGTCGGAAAAAAAGGTACGTTAATTCCAAGAAAGTACGCTTTCTGTGTCTAATTTTGTATTTCTATAAAAAAAAATTATTAACTAACATATTCAAAATGAGTTCTTTGAATCACTATAATCGTATTTTTATTTGCTCATAAAAATCTCATGCTTAATGAAAAGCTATTCAGATTATTATTGCTTTATTTATTTACTCTCTGCACTATTCTTAGCAATATTTGGAGTTTTAATTTTATCTTGTAAGCAAGCAACCAACGGGTGAAAAACGTAAAAAATTAAAACCATTAATCATAGCATAAAATAAGCAAATGAATGAAATGATTTCCAGATACACTCAACAATGAAAGAACAGGAGGGAAAAAACTTGGCTTATATATAAAACTGTATGAGTTGCTGTTAGTTCTTATTCAGCATAAGTAAAATATCTAATTTCGTGGGTTGTTTTATTAATTTTATTTGAAATTAATGAAACAACACATGAAAAAAGAAACTGCTGGGTTTATAAATGAAGCTTCATGGGTTCTGGTTCTTATTTCATCATAAGTAAATTTTCTCTTTTTTTTTAGATATTAAACTGCATGGAAGAAGGGAGAGAACACAATTTTCGAACAAAACCAAAATAATTAGTCAAACTGTGAGAATACTCTTAAAAGTTGTGGTTTGGACCCACTATGGAATATTGATACATGAAGTTTGCCTCCTTCCTGGAAGTGAGCAGCCATCTTGAATTTACTGAGTAGAAGAGAAGAGAAAAAGGGAAAGAAACTTTAACTTTACTGTCTAGACAAGTGGGGTATTGTTTCCTATGTATTTTGTTTTACTATGCAGCTTATTATTTCCTGAATCGAATGGTATCAAAATTAAATCACTATACAAAGTAATTCAAAGTATATTTTATGGGATTCAATAAGTATAAAGCATGAAAAAAAGCAAAATTTTTAACTAAACTTTTTTACGCATCTCAAATCCTTATCTAAATAAGTGAAGTATCATTTCTTATGCATTTTTTACGCTAACTAAAATGAAACCAAAATAAAGTCTAGAGGACGAATAGTTCAAAAAATTATAAAAGCTTTAGGCAACTTTGTTCTTATACGTATTTACACGTTTGACACAGTGTGATAGCAAGCGAACTGTTATTTACGAACAGTCCTATTTTAATTTTTAAGCTAAATTAAATGTGACCAAAACCTATCCGATGAAACTAATAGTTTAGAAGTCATAAGAGGTATAAAGGAACAAATTTTGTACTTATACCTATCTATGAGTTCAACATCGCTATCTTGCTTAGAGTGGCACTGTTATATAGTTTTTTTAATGCTAATTTCAATAAAAAGTAAGATAACAGAACTAATATAGTCGAAGAATTTGATGCGGAAGAAAGTATAAGTGAAAAATTATGCTTCTAATAGTTGAAACTCTTCGAACAAAGGAATTTGTTCAATCAACTTGGTTTTGATTTTATTCGATTCAGCGTAAAAAATATAGATTACAATATATTGCTTGTTTACATTGCAATGCCAGAAGTGCACGTATAAGTGCAAAACTGTACTGTACATTTTATGCATAAAAACTTTTGAACTATTAGTTATATCGACTTTTTTTGATTTTATCCAGTTTAGCGTAATAAACATATAGAAATGAAATACTTCCTTTCTGGAAATAGGTATTTTGGACTAGAAAATAGGTATAATCAAACATTATATTTCAAACTTACTAAATAAATCCCTTATATACTGTAAAAATTTCTTGAAGAAAATTAAAATCAATTTTTAACGGAACATATTACGGAACAAAAAAATATTATATTACGTAATTTTCACAGAAATCATTACGTTAAAATTACTGATTTTCTCTAATTAAATAAATATTACTGTAAAAATTACGGTAAAAATGGATTTTACGGAAGATGCACCTAAAATGCCGTTATTTTATAACGGAATTTTATTCTGAATTTTTTACAGTATAACTTCTGAATCATACCGATATCTGTGCACTACTTCCTAAAAGCAATAATAAAGCTTAAATATATATGAAAAATTCAAGTCATTGTCTTTATTAATTTTCTGAAACCTATTTGTGATATTTTCGTAGGAAAAATAGTCTTGGAATTATTTAAAGCTAAATCGATTTTGTTATTTAATAACAACAGTTTCAACTTATACTGTAAAACTCTGACGTTTCGCATTTGTAAAAGGATAATTTTAAAAATTAACAGGTCTCAGATGATTTAAATTTTTAAATCACAGTCTTTATATATAGTATAAAAATTTGCTTGAGACAGTTCTGTGATAGAGAAATCACGAAAGTAATTTTAACTCAATACAGTTCCACGCATAGTCGTGATTTATGTTGTTAAAATTCATTTTCTTGAAAAATCCTGGAATAGCCCATCTCTTGGCGACATTTTGAAATCTCGCTAAGTTGGCTATTATTACTGGAATCAACGTTGCTTTCACTCTCCATTTTCAATCAGTACTGCACAAAAAAAAAAGTAAAAATGAAATAATAACGGTAATAAATGAAATAACGGTTGAAAAATGAAATAATAACGATGATTCCAACCGCAGATCAGAAGCAGAAATGGCGAAAAAATAAACCCTTTTACATCTTTTCTAACGAAATCCAATTTTCGCGTAGGTATACATATCAAATAACCAATCAGGTTTAAGAATTTCGGTGGTGTGATTGGACGTTCAAAATAATCTCGCCCAAATATCTTCCGGAGACCTAGTTTGGCGAGATTTCAAAAACTTGCTTGACGAGATTTTAAAAAATCGACACGGGGTGGGCTATTCTAGGATCCACCCTATTTCCTTTTTAAGTTTGTAAAAGTGGATTAAGTTCTCTACCTTAATATTATTGTTAATTGATAAATATTTTTCAGACTTATTAGTTATATTTCTGTAAATGGGAAATCATTAAATCGATTGTAAAGTAGCAAAAATGGGTTATTATAATGCTTTCCAACTATATATTAATTGATCGATATTGTTTACACTTATTAGTCATATTTCTGTAAATAGGGAATCAGGAAATTGTTAAAAATAAACACAAATAATCAGCCTATATTGTTAATTGATATGTATTGTTCAGAATATTTTGTCACTTTTTTGTATCGGTGTAATAACGTATCATATCATCATGATAGGTAACACTGAAAAACATTTTTTATTTTTTTTGTTTTCTGTTGCATGCAATTTTTGTAACAGATCTCAGATACTTTCGTTTCACTGCTTTAAAATCTGCAATTGGTTTCTCTATCCAAGCCATAGTTTTTTAGCTTTAGCTAGATATATTTTTAGTCTACTTTTAGTCGAAATGCACAAGTTTAAAAACGTTATATATAAAAGAGGATCATATAAATGTTGCGACCAACTTCTAGGATTTAGGACACATAATCAGGATTAAAATTGCACAGGAACCCATTTCCGGAAATATCGTTTTACGTAGCTAGAAGCGCTTCCCTAATATGAACTGTTTCTTTGTGTGCTTCTGAACAGATCGTAATAGTCGCTTACGATGATTTTTCTGGGCATGGGTTATAACTCAATTTTAATCCTGATGATGCGCCCTAAGTCCTATATAAGTTTGTCGCAACATTTACGCCACCCCCTGTTACACATAATGTTTTAGAATTTTGTACATTTCTACAAAAAATAGACTAAAAAATTTCATTTTAAAAAGAAATCTGTAACTTTTGGAGCAAAACGTATTTTAAACTTGAAATCCACCCCCCTCCCCCAATTAGGCATGATCAAGCATTTGTATGAATGCAACAAAGATTTATCCCCCAGTGTAATCATTAAGTTCTATAGTTAAATTACACTCACTACATTGTTAATTAGTTTAAATTGTTTACACTAATTTGTTACATTTTCGTACATGGAGAATCATGATATTAACTGTTAAATAATAAAAATTGATAAAAATTTCTACGTAATTGACACTGATTTTACTGTTAATTGATTTACATTGTTCAAACTAATTTTTTATATTTCTTGTAAATTGGGAATATCGCTATTAATTGTGAAATAATGAAAAATGCACAATAATTGAGTTATTTACTCAAATAAAATTGATTATATAGTCATTTTATTGATTATATAGTTCACACTCATATGTTATATTTTTTATCTATGAGGAATTATGATATTAATTGTTAAATAATAAAAGATAATTATTTTGTTCTCTACCTAAACTTTCTTTTTTTTTGTTTATTGATTTATATAGTTCAAATTAATTTGTTACATTTTCGGAAATGAGTATTCGAATCAAAAAATTGATTTTAAAGTAATATTGATTTACATTGTTTACATTTATTTGTACGGCATTTGTAAAGGTCTAAATGCATCAACTAAGCTTAAATGCATCTTGAAATTGTAACAAAGCATAACTTTGGCTATAATTAAAGACACTTTCAGAAATATATTATGCATTTTATTATAAAATTAGGGCAGTCAATGCTTCATTATAAACTAAATAATTACTATTCTAGTGGGAAAAAACAAAATTTGATTGAGTGTGAAAAAATTATCACAGTGTTTAATAAACGTTGACTCCAAACATCCCATTACATTTAAAATCACCCTCAATAGCCATTTTGACAAACAAAACTAAAAATGGCTAAAATGAAAAAAAGAAATGACAACTTAGCACATTAGGATATTTATTCGTCCAAACAAAAGACGAAAAAGAAAATATAAAAAAAATGAAGCAGTTTATCACCAGTAGAACATCACTTGTTTTGTTTGTTGAAAAAAAAAATGGAACTTGGCTAATAACAATAGTTTACAAAAAAAGAGAAGCGTTAAATAATGATAATTTTTTTTGTTTCTTTTTACAATCAGTCCATGCTTTTGAACTAAAACGTTCATAAGCAGTAGAAGAAAAGAATAACAATTATAACCTATATTAGTCTCATAAATACAATGTCCCCAGTTTTTTCGAATGGTGTGAATTTCCGAAATGGTTTTTAGTGTACCTAGAAGAGTCTGGCATTGAATAGAATTTCGGACAGTTCAGTTCTGGCGGTTTAATGAGATCGTTTTGAACGAGATTATAGTAATTGTGATTGTCCAATCTTCTCTTTGGCGAGACGTCGCCGATAAGGTTGGACAAAGACTTTGGCCTCGAAAGTCGTCTACAGTTTTTGGAATTTCTCTGATTGTCGGCAACAATGTCAGAGTGGTCATCTGGGCCATCGATGTCATCTTTAGACGACAAAGATGAAGTTGAACCAATGGAACCGTTCATCTTTTTTCCCGAAGAGGAGTTGCTCGACTCCGGACTAGATTTCTTGGTGTCCATAAGCAAATCGGTCAAAGATTTATAACGTATGTGAAACAACGGAGATGTGGCTATAGTTTTTACACTGCTATTCATCCACGATGTCTTTTGGGACTTATTATTCCGGTTGATACCAGATATATCCTTATGAGCATGCGTTTTGTTGTTTTTTAAGAACCGTGATTTGCCATTAACTTGGTTCTGCTGGAATTGGCTCTGGCGTTTGTATGGAATTTTGCTATCATTATTGTTATTATCGCAGTTGGCATTTGTAGACCCATTTTGGACTATTTTACTTGCACTGTTTGAGCGCAAGGGAGTACGACCGGGGGTTTCGAATACCTTGACCAGTTTCAAACCATTTTTTCGCTTGTCAATCTTTTCGTAAATATGATCTTCGGCACATTTTCTCGATTTTTGACTTCGATGCGGTATATATATTTCTTTGGTCTTAAAGGAAGGTGTTCGGTTCACAATACTAACTGTAATTTTATGTGGTGCTTGACTATTCTTAACCATGCCACCATTGGATTTCCTAACTGGTATAGTTTCGATGGGTGGGGGCTCGGGTGGTTTGCGCTCGTTAGATTTACTGCTCACTCCGTCGATCTGCGGAAGTAGTTGCGTCTTGTGTTCTTCGTTTACTGAGAATTCGTTCTTTATGTTAACTGGAAGTGGAGCAAATCCTCTTACGTAATCATATATTTGATCTATTTCGTCATACCGCAAATCATCTGAATCTGAAAATTCATCGACATTATCACTCACTGGGAGGGATGAATCATTTGGGGTTGACATCCCTCTTTCCAAATGAGCTCTACCAGACATGTTGGTACCTTGTGGATCTGAAGCACTACGTTTGACAAGAGGAACAGTGCGATAAGTATTCGGTGCTTGTCGGCGTGTATAAACATACTGTGGTGAAGGTGGGAGATTTTTGATTTCACGAACAGATGCTACATCACAGACCTGCATGCAACCAGACACCTCCACCATTAAACTATGGCACTTGTTGGCAAGCGCCGCATGTTCTGACATTTTTGTCAGCGCTTCAAAGTTCTTTGGTGCGAGAACTTTTAGAGCAGCATTTGGCGGGATAGGCACAACTCCGAGATCTTTAGACAATGGCATAGCAACGAGACATTCTTCTTCAATCAATGAATACAATCTCATTTCATTTACGAACTGTGAGCCAGTTTTTACACCGACTGGAGGTTTACCGTGAACCAAGCGAACCATAATTGGAAACCTTTTGGACATGAGCGTTTTGACTGTGTGCACTCCAGATATATTATCCTCTCCAGCTATGGTACTAAATCGTCCTCGAAGCTCTAGTGGAAGATATACAGTGTCACCAAAAGATGTGACGCAGCCCAAATATTTTCCGCTCGCGCGGTTGCCGCGCGAAACTCCACTCAGGATCTCACCCACTGTGAGCACTTCTCCAGGAGAAATGGTCCGAGTTTTGTCCCACACACTGTCCACGTCATCTGGTCTTGGAAGGTGGACTTTGATGCTATCTCGTACGAGACAGGATTTGGGATTCCTCCTTGCAAGTTCTGCAACGCTTTCAATGCATCTGACGGCCCTACCATCTTCTGACAGTATTTCGAACCAGCCGTCATAGTTTTCTGGAACAGCTAGTTTGGCACCCACGGGGATCATCCTGCGGCCCGCATCTTTGAACTTGACGCACTGAGCGATCACTTTGAGCTTGATGCCTGCCGAGGCAAGAAATACAATCTGGTTGAGATTCGGAGATGGCAGACTGGGGACACCCAAGTTTTGGTATTGTCCTTTGATGATCTTGGCCACCTGTGGAAGTTTGAACTTGTTCGTGAACTCCTTGAGGTAGTACCCCTCGTCTCCCCACTTCACTGCTGACAGGTACGTCCCCGTCTCGGAGGAAGACATTCGTCCCCCCGAAATGGTTTCGGACAAAGATATCGGACTCGTGATGACTCTTCGGATGGAACGCACTTTCTCAAGAGGTGGTAGTCCACAGCGTCGGTTGGAGCTCATATGGATGCATAGCTTTGGAATTTTCTTCGCTGTATATCTGTGGAAGAAAGAAAATATTATTTTTTAGTTTCTTAAAAATAATTCATATCAGTTGAACAATTTTTAAATAAGTTTTGCTTAATGGTTATTTTACAAATCAAGGAATGTTTCTTGTAAACTAGCTGAATAGCTAATATTCGTACGGGGTGAGAAAAAAATAAATGATTACGAATTAGACTTTTCCTGAAAAATGTGGGCGAATTGAATTTTAGTGAGATGTGGAAGATGTGGTTATTTCACAATATGGAAAATGTGCTATGTGGTAGATGAAATGTGAGGGCCACGGCGTTTAGGAATGTCCTGAGAAATTGTCAACCATGGAAGGCTATTTTTTGTTATTAAATTGCTAAGTTTAGATACTATTCTTATTCGTTCGCTGTAATTCTCCACACTAACTTCATAATTTTGGGAGCCTTGCCAGGATTTCAACCAGGGACCTTTCGCCTGACTAGCGGGAATACTGATCACTATACGATCACGACCGAGCATCCGAATTTATGGAATTAGTGGGGCGAATTCCGGTGAAAAAACAAAACAAATCGTATCTAAGCTTAACAATTTAATTAAAAAAAACAGCATTCCATAGTTGACAATTTCTCATGGCATGCTTATACGCAGCGTAGCATGACATGCCCCTACATTACATCTTGCAAATAGTCTCCGAATAGTCCAGTTAAGTTTAATTCGCCAATACGCTGTCTGCACCCTCTAGCTGCGTTTTTAAAGAAGAGTCTAATGTAGGATCGAATCCCGTAAACAATATTTCAAGAATAATTGATATGAAAGTTATAACTGAACTATGTGAACTGTAATATTTAAAATAAAAAATGATTATTCTATACAATTGTTAGAGAAAACGGCAGCAATTTAAATCTTCATATAAGTGATCATACAACAAGAAAACAAGCATGTAACAAACTTCATATACACAATACAGTATATATGTACAGTGAATATAGCGCAGTAAATATAGTACACTGAATATATTCTTGTGAAGAATTAATTTTTCAAAAGAAACGAAGATAAAAACGAATTTGAAAATCACAAAACGAATGAAGCATTCGAAAATCACAGAAATGTTTTATGACGCATTTTGTCTTTGCAACATGAAAATTAAGCAAGCATAATTGCTAAATATTATAATTTGTCATTTAATAAATTGTAACAATGAAGCTTAATACTAACTGATCTCAAAGTTTGCTATTGTTTACAAAATAAAGAAAACACATGTTATTTATTTACTTTTAAAACAATGAATGATAAATCTACAGTTTGTATCTTTTGGATTCTTACATATTTGCCAGCGATTTTACTCCTCAAGATAAACAATCGCTTCGGGAAACGACCTTGATACCATTTTCCACACCCAGTTTATGAAATTTAGTTCTCAATTTTAATCAATAATATTTCAATGTTTTTCTCAAATATTTTTTTTTCTTCATATGAGTGGGCGGGTTAATAGAGAAGAAACTATTGAGACAGTTTGGTTGAATTAATCTTGATACATCAAAAAACCAAGGATAAACAATAGGGAAAGTCTCACCAAATCCTCTTTCCTTTCTCTTTTAAGATTTTGTCGTTATACGCAATAACAACCCAGATTTTCAAGGTTTTTTTAATAATCAATGCTTTGAGAACTGAACTCATTTCAGTATTTTATTTATTGTTATTATCAGTAATATTATAAATGTTTTTAATGTAAGGTTAGTTTTTTTTTTAAAAAAAAGCAGAAAAAAAGTAATATTTATGTAAGAAACGGGACTAGGTATCAAACACCTGTAAGTCTCATAAATAATAATATTAATTATAGCATCTCATTGCTCTTCAGCTCCAGAAAAATGTTTCTCAAAAGCATCATGCACTCGTCTTGACTCAAACCATATTTGTGCGTTGAATTGATGATTTCATAAACAACTTAGTTCTGTATGTAAAAACTGAGTAAAGAAAATGAAAATTCACATTGATTTTATAAAAAACACGCAGTGAAAAGTGTTACTGTGATATGGCATTATCAGACAATATAATGCAGTTAAATTTACATTACATCACCCAAAACTTAAAGTTTCAGTATGTAAACACGAGCAAACTTGAAACTCGATTTGATTTCATATAATGATGCAATTGAGAAGTATTACTCCAACATACAGAGTACAAAATATACCTGAACATCTACATACGTTAAGTAGTTAAAAGTGTTTTCTTATGGAAAAAAATTAAACAAAAAGGAAATTCAAAGCTTGTAAAAAAAAACTCAGTGAAAAGAATGTTTTTTACGACTTGGTCCATCTACCTAACATCTACAATAAGACTGATAAAAAGCGTAGCTGTTTTAGTAAAACAATGAAAAGCGAGTTGTTTCAGTAAAACGTTGGAAAGCCTAGTTGTTTCAGTAAGATGTGTAAAAGCGTAGCTGTTTCAGAGAAACGTTAAAAAGCGTAGTTGCTTTGCAGTGAAACGTTGAAAAGCGTAGATGTTTCGGTGAAAGTTTGAAAAACGTAGATGTTTTAATGAAGCGTTGGAAAACGTTATTTCTGTATGAATCGAACAGAATTTAGTAATGTCATGAACATCTCAACAGTTTAGCAAAACTGTAAGTTTAAATGACGTCGTTTCTGGTTTTCGTAGACAAAGAACAATTTAAACAGTAAAAGAATTGGGCCTAAATGTTTTTTATATAACAAGAGTTAAAATGTATTATTTCTGAAGGATTAATCCATAATGTACCACAACTGTTACAGTTAAATTTATTCCTGTCTAAGTATTTAATTGACAAATTTAAGAACAAAGGAATACCGATTTTATCAGAAGACCACAATGAACGATGTTATTTCAGTATTGAAAGGACATATCTACTGCCGTTCCGAAGTTGAAGAGTTCAAAAATAGTGTGCTTAACGCATATTGACTATGTTTGATTGGTAAAAACAAATTTAACAAAGTATTCTAATGGTTTCCTACAAAACTAACATTAAGAAGCTCTACTTGTCCTATATGGACTAAAAATGTTCTATATAAATGTTATATTAAAAAAGAAAAAGTATGAACTCGAGGAGAAAAAATAGTTTACACCTAAACACTTAGCAACCAAACAAAACATCATTTTAAATCAAAAATACGACGAGACACAAGTAAAACTCGAAAAGTAACACATGACATCACAGCCTTGAATCTTAATACATCACCTATTCTTAATTGACACAAGCCACTTACACAAGTTGAGTCACCAATGTTTCAAAAGAAAGAAAAAACTAAATCTATACGTACAACTGACTAAACGACCCATTGCCTCGCCTCCCCCAAAAAGCGTCACAACAAAGTTCTCAACCAAAACATGAAAAAAGAGCTTTTTTATGTATATACAATGAACTAAAAGGTAAGCAAGATTCAGTAACCAGATTTGGAATTCAACTTGTAACAACGCGTCACCTGTCCGTGCTAGTGACCTTGGTCCAAGTTCTCCGCCTCCTCCGCAATTGATGCCCACACGCACGCTCTACCAACTTCCATCATCACCAACAAAAGATGCCACAAACATATTCCACAATTCTTCTGTAAGAGCAGCGCCAAAATAAGCAGGAAGTTCTTTTTTCGTATATCAAAAAAGCAGACGATTATAAGCCGAAAACTGGCTTTATTATTGTTGTAGATGGACAGATGGAACGGTCAATGAAATGGATTGTATTTACTTTGTTCACAACTTTGATCTTCATGAAAGTACTACATAATAAAGGCCTTGAGTGGGGATTTTTATTAGGGATATCTCTTCTTTCAAATTAGATGGTAGGGTTTTGGAATTAGAGGTTAAAAAGCGTACTTCAAAATTTATCAAGGTTCGATTCAAAACGGAATATAGGCAAACAGAGCTTTCCTATTTTGTATCTAAGCAGTAAATACAATGTACTGTTTCCTTTATTGTTAAACTGTATTATTTTGTTTCTAAAAGCGGTAAAAACATTCTTAACATTTACGAACTCAATTCCTATTTTTTTTAAATATATATTTAATTTGTACTTTTTTTTAAAAATTAGATGCAAGAATTTCAGAATTAGAGGTTGAAATGCGTACATCAACATTCATCAAAGTTCAATTGAAGATGTAATATAAGCAGGCAGAACTTTCATAATTTGCATCTAGGCTGAAAATACAATGCATTATTATCAAATTGTATCAGCAGTAATAATAACGAACTCAATCACATCTTAACCCTAACTCCGACTACTTTTTAAAACATTTTCAGCTGTAACTCTAAAAAGAAATTTTGCAAAGTATTTAGTTTTTTGATCTTTGATGACGAAATAAGTATCTAAGAGTTTGCGCTGTTCAAAACTTAGATCTTCATAAAAGTATATAATGAATACTTAAGAGTATTTAAAGAAGATAAGTGCATGTTCAGGGATTTTTATTAGGAATACTTTTTTAAAAAATTAGATTGTTCGGTTTGTCTTTTTTTTTTCTACAAATTTCGTTCGTGACAGTCTAATATGAAATTATCAAAAAAGTGTTTTTTTTTCTTAATTTTTAAACTTTCCTGCTTTTTCTAAATTTAAGAGCAGTAATAAAACAGAAATAATTAATAATTTAAAAATTTTTGGTATAAATTTCTTCTTACTACCATTTACAGTTTTTTTTCTCCGCATTTTAAGGGTTTTTCTAATGTATATTAATTTGCAAACTTGAATGTTTATAAATAAAATAAAAAATAATAGGCAAATATCTTTTCATTTAATCAAAGCAATTTAGTTCAGGCACTATTTTAAAACACAATAACGCATAATCAAAGAATTATTCTGTAATTCAATTTTGAAATTAAAGAAGACCGGCACGCGTAAACTCTATTTCATACACATCATCAAAAACTTTCTAAAAAGATAACACAGCTGAAAGAATCAAAACAATTTGGTTTTATCTTTAAATTACAGTTATTTCATTTTTGTAATTGAAATAAAAATAATCCATCAGAGAAAATGACGGTTTCAAAACAAAACAATAATTAAATATT